CTTGCATTGCACTCCGCGAGATTAGATACAGAACCGTGACACAAATTGAGTCCGAACTGTAGTAAGGCCCAAGGGCGCGTCTACAAGTAGTTAAAATTTTATCTAGCAAGTTATTTTTATTTAATTTTTATGATGTTCCAAAAAAAAACTGGGGCGTCATATCACCTATTCCAAAACTACTCCAACTTAAGCACGCTTAACTGGGGAGTTCTAATAGGGATCTCACCACCCGGGAAAATGCCTCGATGCTATATAAGGGTTCAGGTTTTTACTTTTATAGCCTAGGAACTTTTCATCTATTCCCGATGTGGGACACCGGGGCCTTACAGGTGACCCACTGGGAAGAACAAATCCGTGTGGGCGTGGCCCAAAGCGGACAATATCGATGACATGTGAAGGGTTGGGGCGTTACAAATGGTATCAGAGCCGACTCTCCGGAGTATCGAGTGTGGGCCCTTGCTGTCTCTCGGTGCATGTGGACAGGCGTGCGAGCTGGCAGGCTACTATACGAGGATGTGCAGCTTTATGGGGGATGGATTGTAAGGCCCCGGTGTCCCACATCGGGAATGGATGAGGAGTTCCTGGGTTATAAAAGTAAAAACCTGGACCCTTATATAGCATCAAGGCCTTTCCCGGGTGATGAGATCCCTATTAGAACTCCCCAGTTAAGCGTGCTTAACCTGGATTAGTTCTGGGATGGGTGACCCACTGGGAAAAATAAATCCGTGCGGGAGTGGCCCAAAGCGGACAATATCGATGACATGTGAAGGGTTGGGGCGTTACATTTCCCCAGGGCGTGGTATCTGGTTTGGCTAAGGAAAGATGGACGTCGTCTGGAATTTGGTAATCCTTGCGGAATTCGGCAATAGCCCTTGGTGAGTTTACTAGAAATCGATATTTACCCATTTATGGCTTAAAATTGTGTGTAACTTAGCCCGAAGTCCTAGTTCAGTGTTGAGATGATGTTGATTATCTCGGTTGAGCGTGCAAAGGTGTGCCTGGCCAACCTAGTCAAAGTCTACAAAGTGAAGATGAAAAGTGTTATGCCCAGATAACTAAACCAGGCTTAAAAAGAAGGAAAAATAAAAAACTCTAGAACGGCTAAAACGGTTTGAAACGCTTAGCTCGGTCATTACACGAGTTTTTAATCCAGCTAAACAAGCATTGGGGATCTTAGCTCGGTTGTTGTGTAAGGTGTGCTAGTTCGGTCGAGTGTGCGCCTATCACAAACTGGCTCATAGTTCGGTCATGGTGCTATTCTCGATTGGAAGGATCGCATTCCAAATTCATTGAAAATTCAACCAAGGTGGTTATGGTTTAGGGGTCTGGTTTTTGAGTTTTCGTGGTTCCTACCCATTTGAGCAAAACTACATAGTGTGTTTTGGAAAATATATGTTTATATACATCTTTATTATACATATTCACGAAATAAACGGAAAAAGTGAGGGATTAAGTCACTTACAGTCTAAAAGAAGATAATGAAGTTCTAAACGGTGAAGATGCCAGACAGGAGCACAAGTCATTGCAGGTGCTGTGATTGAGAAATTGAGGCTTAGAAGGCAAGAGAAAGAAGATGAATAGTGAAATGTTTTGATTTGAAAAAATAGGGTTTTTGTATAAAACCTAGATTTGGGCGGGATTGTTCAAAATTCGCGAGATACGAAGACAGCGTTGACAGCTGTATTCAACCAATAGGGGCCAGCCACATGTCTATAGAAATAGAAAGCGATTCAGATGTACAGCGTGACTGAAGAGACGTTTTTTGACCGGATAGGGCGGTAGCCCGATAGTAATTTAGCTCGATTGAAGGTCTAAACTTTTAGCTCGGCTAGTAACAAATAATCCCAAACATGCTACACAGATGGAATTAAGGGGCAATTGAGAGGGTAAAAAGCATAAGTCTGGGCCGAGCTAGAACTGGAAAGAAGCGAGCCGAGTTATGGGCTGAGTAGAATGGGCTTTGCCACTGGGCTTTGTTAGTCCGGTCATGGATGACTGAAGTTAGCTCGGTTCGAGTATTCTAAACTGGGGTACGAGGAGTTGTGTTATGCAAACAAGTTGATACCGAGCTAGGGAAAGCAAGGTAGAACCGAGCTAAGGAGAATTCGGTGAAACTTGCCACGTCAGCGTATGTTAGCCCGGTTGTTTTGTCATACTACCGAGCTAAAACCATTTCACTTGGTTAAAGCAGTGATAAGGGTGTTAAGGGATAGGCATTGTCTCTTATAAATGTGATTCCTATAAGGACTCTACGTTGAGGAGTAAGAGTCCTATTAGGATTGTGCCACGCGGAACCTATAAAGGCTCATAACAGAACCTATGTACAAGTATCACAACTTTGATTCTCGAATACACGGAGCTTTCACCTATTTGTCTATTTGGCTAACTTAGGCATCGGAGAGGTATCCGACACACACCCGTCGGCTACCTCACGTTTGTGTTTTCAAGGAATAAAGCGACGACGTTTGAAGAAGCACAGACTTGATCAACAGGACTATACGAGAACATTATTTCGTGCTTGTGCAGGTATGATAGATGAGATTTGTTAGTATAGAGATGAAGTAAAATTATATTTGTTTGATGATAGTTATTAGTGTAGAGATTGTTAAATTAATTTTATATAAAATGAATATGAAATAATGAGAGACCAAGGTTTTTCAAAACAACCCATGGCTTTTTCACTTTTTTTTTTGGGGGGAGGGGGGGGGTCAAAGATAGAATGTTAATATGTTAGTAAAATTAGATTACAACTTAAAGGGGGCCGTCGTTGATCCATCAATTAGAACCCCAAACCTTCCACTCACTGCATCCTAAGGCGCGACTACATGTCACTTAGTCACTAGGGCCTCAGCATGGTTTTTTCACTAGAAACCATAGTTTTGAACTTCAATTAATGTTATGGTCAAAAAATAAAAAGCAAAAAATTTGCACTTGGCAAGATGACCACTTATGTCTGCCCCGATATTTGCCTAAATGATCCTCCGAACAACCTCTCAGTCAACCAATTCCACTTTAATCCCAACGGATTATTTCCAAATACCATTTCCTTTGGGTTACTGCTAGTCTGCTTCTCCAAGGACTTTCGTAGTTTGAACGGACTCTGAATCCGAACCTTCCTTTTGCAAACAAACATGATACTGGTGCTCCCAACAAACTAATAGTCCAATCTGGCCCTTGATATCAAAAAACAAACAGGCGTATGCATGTATTTATACAAGAGTGAGTTTTTAACACGAGTTTTGGGAGTTTCAATAGAAAGTTTTGTTTTGTTTATTTATTTATTGTTAAACTCCAATCTTTTACAAGAGCAAATTGGGCATAAGAAAATTTTGATAAAGTTTACCATTAATTTGTATTTATTTTTTTATAATTACATTGATTTGTAATTTCCTCTCAAAAGGAAAAAATTATAATTCAAAGTAATTTTTAAAAAATAATTACAAATACATAAGAAAACTTATATTTTTAATTATTAAAATATGTAAAGTTTATTATTAATTTATAATTATTTTTCTTACAATTACATTGATATGTAATTTCCCCATATAAAAACATATGGTTAAATCCATTGATTTTGAATTTTAAAAAATGAGTGAATATCCATACTTCATAATTTTAAACAACTTCCATATAATTTTTTTTTTTAATCTATGAGGCAAAATTTCCAAAAAATGAGTGCATGTCCCTATCCCTTTGCGATATTTGTCTTGTATTTCATAATAGGTTTTTGGACTGAAAATAAGATTTAATGGGTAATAAATCTTAAAAGTAAGATCAATTGACAATTTACCCAAAAATTAATGGTATGCATTAAGAAAAAAAATTCAAAAATTTCAAATTATATGTAGTATAAACTGAGAAGTGGTGTGTACTAATTTAATTATAGACGTGCAAATAAATTTTTTGACAAGTGGCATTTATAATTTTCCACACCATATAGACTAATTTGTGTTTAAGGCACTCATGTGTACTTTGGGGGGCTCTGCCCCTTTATTTATTTATTTTTTCAACAGATAGACTAAGGGTTCAGCTTTAGAAGTGTAAAATTATTTTTTATTTTTATTTTTCATTGATTTATGTAGCTTGGCTAGATTAAGGTATATTATATTAAGATCAACGGTAAATTATATCAATAGTCCTTATATTTTGTTGTTTATGTTATTTTAATCCCTACACCACTTTCAATTGGGTCAATTTTGATCCTTAATTTTAGATTTTGTATCAATTTAATCTAATTGATAAATTTGTTAGGTTTTTTGACAAAAAATGTTCACTGAGTTGGTTGACGTTAAGTCAATGAATCTTCACTATATTTGAAAAATAAAGTTTGGAAAAGAAATTTTGTTCGAGTACTAAACACCGAAACAGAATAATTATCAATTAAATTAAAATAGCAGATTCTATTTTATTACTAAACAAAATAAAATCTGGAAAAGTAGAAATATGGATTTAATAAACAAATCAGAAAATAGGAAAAATACTTACAAAAATAAATTTTCTAAAAAGATCAAGTCTAGTGTTTAACGCTGTTTTCCTAAGACAGATTCGTCCTCCTCATGGTGCTATTGGAATTTGGACGTCTATTTCCTAGAATAATACGATCCACGACAAACAGTAACAACATTACAAACTGATTGTCCAACAAACACACTTTATGTTTATACTCTCTCTCAAATTAAACAAATGTAGTAGGGATGTAATCTATTCGATAGTGCTAGTATTTAAGTAAAAGTTTTTACCAAAATGATACTGTCGGTCCTATTATTTTGAGTACTGATACAAACCGTTTCGCCTATCAAACTGCACCAATTGAAATGGTTTGGTTTAGTACGGTTTAATCAATTTAAAATCTGTCAAATCCAAGGAGGCAACCATACTTTCCCCTATATAAAAACATCCAATGGTTTTAAATTTTGAAAAATGAGTGAATATACGTGCATCATAATTTTATACAACTTCCAAATAAGTTTTTTAAATTATGAGGAAAAAAACCAAGAAAATTAGTGAATATCGTATCTTTCTACGAATTGTCTTGTATTTCATGATAGGTTTGAAGGGTGGCAGAAGGCTACAAAAACGCTTTTTAAGCATCTATACATGTTCCCCTCAGGAGGACTATTTTTAGCAAAAAGTGAAAAATAACCAACTTATACATTTTATTTATTTATTTTGACAACTGTGAAAAAGCTTCATATCAGAATAGAGAGCCTTCCTCCAGAGAGTCAGCAGCAAAAAGTTCATTTAGCTGTTCATCTGTCCATTCTGGAAGTGAGGCTCTTGACATTAGTTGCTGTCTTTGCTTCTCACCTCCATTAATTTCTTGATCATTCTGTTTCTCAATCAACTTAGCTTCCATACTATTGTGTTCGAGTCTGCTCGGTGAAAACCCTCCATTTTGCAATGTGTTTGCATCCTTCGAACCCAGTTGGTCTGCATCAACTGTCTCTATGCCGATTGAGTTGATGATTTCTTTTTCTGCATCTTGTCTCTCCAAGGGCTCAATCTCTACCATATCATTTTGGTCTCTTCTATTTGTGCTGCTGCTACAAACCTCCAAAGGCGAGGTCTTTTGCTTGTTACCCAGTTCCCTACTGCATTCTGATAACGTGAAAGGGTATCGATAAGAGTTTAGTTATCCAAAACATTCACTTCAAAAACAAAATATAAAAACAACAAAATATATGGAGAGTCGTATCATTCGATTGCATCAGAAGCTGTAAATGTTAGTGCAGAATAATGCGTTTGATTGCATAGAATGAAAAGAGCGTCACCAACCATTAACAAGAACAGCAGGTTTGATTGCAGATACAGGATAATTTTGCTGTAGCCGAGGTCCACTGTCCTTAGAAATTATCTGTAATAATAAGAATAAATTTGTAACAGACATGGCACAAAGGAGTTATTGAGGGCATATCTGAAAATAGAAAATAACTAGACAACTGCTATCACAACAATAGTCACCTGCACATTTTGCTTGTCTGTAATTTCTAAAGTGAAGGTTGCTCAGAAATTGGACCCCTTCATGGAGAATAAGACCTTTTCGATTCCACTGTAAAGTTTATTTGAAGTCTGTTTTATTCAATCACAAATATTGATTGAGGCTAAGGTTCTAAACTTCATATGGGGTTGAAATATCATGGAGTGTTTCAATAGAAAGTTAAATTTTGTAGAATATTTTTGCATGTCTGTCTCAGTATGTGAACTGAATGATAAGACAAGTGATGTGGAGGTGGCCGCCTAAAGGACGATACTGAGATAGATATATGATTAGATATGAAATGTATTGGCTAGTGGGCTGGCTAATAATGTGAATTATGCTATAGTAATGTTCTTTTTTCAAAGACAAGAACTATGGATCAGGAGTGCAGAGCAAACACCGCTTTCTTAAATGCTCTACAAACCAATGCATCCTAATCACCTCTGAAAATGACTGAATAATATAAAATACCAAAAAAAAGGCTCTATAGACTTAGGGGTTGTTTGGGGTGTCCTAAATAAGTGTACTTTTTGTCTTTTTAGACTAAAAAATTGAGGACAAAAATATGAATGTTTGAGTTAACTTTTTGACTTTTTATGAAAAAATGTATATTAAAAAATTGTATAAATTAGTGTGTAGGAGAAAATTAGAATTGGGAGTTGTGCAGTCGTAATTGTTGACTTTTGGTGAATAGTGTTAACTTTTTAACTTTTTGAGTAACTTTTTGACTTTGACTGTTTGACTTTTTATGGACTTGACAAATTTGGCCTAAAATTTTCATTCCTCTAAACCTCAAAAATTAAGGGCACCACTTCACACCTAGTAAACTTGTTCAATTGCTTTGCCACACATTTTTGGCCATATATTTGAAGACAACATCAAAGAATATGATGATCTTGTTTTGCTTGCTTTTCCACCATAGATAGAATTTTTTTTATAAGTTTCTGAATCTCCTCGATGAAGAGTATATAAAGTTTTTCTCAACAAAGTAGTTCATCTAAAAGCATTTCCAACATTTCCAAGCAATAATTGAATGGGATGTTGGCTTTTTGGCTAAAATAGCCAAAAAACCAAACACCCAATCACATCACTCTCTCTACTTTTTTGCATGTGAGCTCTGAGTTCTCCCAAACCACACTTGGACAAAGCTTGCTAAACTCTTCTAAAAATAGGGGTCAAACAACATTATGAATCAATTTCATCCAAGAAATATTAAGGAGTTAACTTTTGAGACTTTAATTCAATTCCCACCATGTGAGAGACATGTCTAATGTCAACAGATTTAGCTGAAGTTGAAGCTCTAAAATTTTATAAAACCAAATAATTGTCTATTTGAAAATCTACCTCTCCTATCAATCCAAACAAATTAATCATGTTTGCTTAGTGACAAAAAGTCTACCCAAATTGAGAGTTCAAGAGCCTGGAAAAAACCGAGGCATATCTCAAGTATTTTCCATTTTATATCTCAAACATACAAGCAAACTGGCTGTGGATAAAATTTCTTCAAAAGCATTACATAATCTAGGTTCGCACAAGGCTTTTTTATTTTTTTTTAGTTTTGATCTGCATCAATCAAATATTATTAAAAAGAACATAGGTGCAAGATTATTATTAATATAAAAAGCCCACAAGAAATGTAGGAAATGGTAATTCTTGTTAGCATGGTTAGCCACTTCCCTTAATGATGCAAGCAATATGGTTAGAATATGCTGAAATACTGAGGAATTTGTGTAATTCTAAAATTAGGAAGAACAATTACCTTGACCACATTACTTGGTGTTACGTTGAGATAATGTGCTGATCGCGAAGGGGTAAAAACAGCAACCTAAAATACCATACCATGCTTATGTTAATCACCTAATGAAGAAAATGATGTCATAAACTAAAGCATCACAAGACATTTCGGGAGACAGACCTTCTGAAGTATCAAGACAGAGCCAACAGAGATCTCCCTTCCAAACTCAACCTCAGCGATAACTTTGCGATGAATGTTAGCACAAATTGATCCTGTAGGGTCCTAATGCCAAACTCAATCCCAATTAATAACAATTAGAACAACATCTACATTACACCATACCATATCCTTGTCAAAAAGTCCAGGACACAGAAACTAGATGAATGGATAGGATTTCTGAGAAGTGGGTCTTACTAATAAATCTCATAAAATCTTATCCAATCTTATCTATTCATATGTTTTCTATGTCCATCCGGTTATGTATTTGGTCTATGTGTTCCTAACATTGTCATATCCTTAGAACTATACATTTATTTATACCTTCAAAGCCACCATCAGATCACCAAAACCATTTGGTGTGGATGATTTAATGACTGCAACAACCTGATCACACACCAATCACAAATATGAACAATATTTATGTATATATATATATATTCACAATAGCACGAAATTGATGGTTGATAATATAATACCAGATCAACACGGTCAATGTTTAGGCATTTCTTGATAGAGCTCAAAGGTGTACTAGGAGGCCAACCATCCACCATTCCTGAAAAATCCCCAAAATTCAACAATCAATTAACAGACAATCCAAAAAAACCTATGCAGTAATTAAATTAAAATAACAATAAAACATCAATTGGGTTGGTTGGCTATACCTTGGCGATCCAGAAATTGAAGTGCAAAAACCCAAGGGTTGCGCTTGAAATCATCGTCCTCTTCTCCATCTTCCACGGCCCTCCTGATATATTCCTGGGTAGTAGGGATAGGAGACTCGTCGGAGAGAGGGTTTCGATTGCGGAGGACCATGGCGGAGAGAACGGCACCGGCGGGGCCCGGAATGAGCCGGGGAGAGCGGGAGGGTTTAGGCGGTGGCGGAGGGTCTAATTGGGCTTGTGAGTGTAGTTGAGAATTTGGAGTGAGTAGGGTTTCAGAGAAGTTGGGTTGGAGAATTGAGTGATGTGATGGTGGTGAGGTATTGGGATTGCGGTGGTGGTTGGTGGTGGCGGTTTGGTGGCGGCGTTTGCAAGGGCGGAGGCGGAGGAGAGAGGGAAGATCAGAGTCGTCTACGTCTAGCGATTCTTCCCAGGGTTCGTGTTCTTCGTCCTCCATTTGATTCCAATATTGTGATTTTTTTGAACGCACGAAACACTTCAATCTTCACGCGGGAAACAAAATGGATGGGCTTGTCTCCCTTTGTATACTTCTATCTCCATAATTTTAACCGTTTATAATTCTATAACTCATTATAATAATTTAAATTGTTTACCATTTATGGGAAAATTATCAGGAAATCTCATTTGGGAGACTTTTGGATTGAGAGATCCCTTTTTTTTTTAATACTCTCACTAATCCTATTTGTATGGTAATATTTACCAGCAAATCTCGTGCATTGTTGGCGTGTGGATTTTATTATTTTTTTACTCATGTATTGTATGTAACGTGTTTGGTAACAAAACAGAAACACCACATCAACCACATCAACAACATTAACCATCCCACACCCATTACCCCCACACCACACAACCCCCAACCATCTACACAAACCATTCACACAACACTTGCCACACAAATAAAAATTAACCACACCTACTGGGTTGCCACAACTAGGTTGGACGTATGGCGCCGCTCACGTCGATTGGAATACATGCCTTGCCGTAACGTGGAATGTGGACAAACTTCAACAACGCTGAAGATAGAGACCACTACTCCGATGAAAATGACAAAAATGAGTTTTTTTGACAGAATCTACTCCGATGAACTTTAACCACGCCGAAGCTAAACTGTTTGACAAAATCCCCAAATGAGTATGACAAAAACGTTGCTCCGATGAAAACCCAATCGACAAAAACGTTGCTCTGATGAAAACCCAATCGACAAACGCACAAAATTAGTGGTATGTGCTCGGAATCTGAAATTTTGGGGGTTCAAACGATTGGGTTGGATCCGAATGTGGTTTGATCGAAATCCTCAATTTTGGGAGGTTGAAACGTTTGGGTTGGTTCCGAATGTGGGCTACCATATCGCATGTTGAAATCCTCAATTTTGGGAGGTTGAAATGTTGCGATTGGTTCCGATGTGGTTCGTGAAATTGAAGTGAGACATCAACTTCTATTTGATCTACATGATGTGGTCCACGAAGTTGTGTTTTCTGCAAAATAATGGGTTGTCTTCAAATGTGGGCTTCAAGAAATTATGTGGGCCACCACAGTGTGGGTCATCAAAAACGTGAACAAATACTAAATCCTAAAAAAACTATAGTAAACTTTTTCCAAACGTTACATATACCCACATCAATCAAACATAATATCACTAAACCAAAAACAATTCATTCATGGGCAAAACTGTCCACCCCCAAATAATGGGACCTTTGGGTGTACAAAATTAAATATGAGACTTATTAGATTACAATTCCACCTTTTAGGATTTATGGGTCAATTCCCCTTAATTTATACTCGTTTCATCTACTCTCATTTTATTAGTCTATTATTTTATTTCTTGTTTTCTCAAAATATTTGTCCACTTTAAAAAGTCAAAATTCTAAATTTATAAGTTTCTAAAATTATTCCTTATAAATATTTAAAAATTAACATATCACCCGTACTATGCACGTGGTTGAATTTAAAAACTATTTATGATTGTGTCAAATATATTTTTAAATTGTTAGCATAAAATATATGTAATTTAAAAAAAAATATTGACATTGCATAATTAAAGTAATAAAAATAAGAATTCATTACATTTGTTCAGAATTCACTAAATAAATAAAACAAAGTATAAAAAATCTAAATTGTTGTGGGTTTTCCATTAGCATTCCTGGATTGTCAACATAATAGTTAGTATTATAATTGATAAACAACACATATTATGTATTTATAAAATGTTATACTTACATATTTTTTGGGGGGTAAATTAAAAATACACCCCTTGAGATTTGCTTAAAATACGAATTGTCCCCTGTGGTTTGGAAAATTACAAATATTTCACTGTCAAAATTTTTTATTTAATAGAATTAATTGAAAAAGTAAAATTTCTAACTGTTCACCTATACAATAATAAAATTATCTGAATTATTAATTGAAATAAAATTTAACATTATTAAAAATTGTTAATTAACTTGATGATTTATGAAATTAAAAACTTTATGGGGCATAATGTAATTTTTAGAATCACATGGGGTAATTTGTAATTCAAGAAAACCTCAAGGGGTGTTTGTAATTTACCATTTTTTTTAACCTTCTAAAAGGTATAGGCATTCTTTAGACCAATCTATATTTAAAACAAAGGTTACGCACGGTGCACAATCTAGTTGACTTTGCATTGTTGGTATATGTATGATAAATGCATAGGTACGATCTTGGCATGGCGCAATATAATCTTTAATCATTTTAACTCCATTATCCTGTAAAATTTTGGAATTATAACATTATGTTTGAAAATATAGGAATAAGTTATTTATAATAAATTATACAGCTTTGCACCTTTGATCTCATATTCTTCGAATATGATGGTTGATATCGCAAGATCAACTCTGCCTGTTTATCTTGAACAATGAGATTTATTGAACCAGTATTGTCTTTGACCACAATGTTAACATTGTATCTAATAAAAAAAAAAAACTTGTTAAAAGAAAATATTATACTTAATAAAAAATTAAAACACTTGTTAAGTTTGAATTATTATTGTACATAGCTATTATTTACCTAAAGAAAATTACATCGTTATAATATCAATATTGATGATGCGTTTATTCTCAAGAAGGACGGGTCAGACTAATCCATGCTTCTAACAGATCTGTTGGTCTTGATGTCCACGAAGTGTGCTTGCAAAAAGGGTCCAAAAGGGGGGATAGTCCTCCGGCGGACACTTCGACAATCAAGTTAGGGTAGAGTAGATTGACTATAGAGAGAAAAAGAATAAGAGATGAAGAACTTAACCTTTATCACATCTCGAGAGCTTCCTTATATCATTTGCTCATCATTTCTTTGTCCATTCCCAGTTGTCTTGTTGCCGAAAGTCTATAGCCTAGTTGACATCGTTTATGGTGGTTTTGCGTTCTCTAGCGTGAGGGGTCTTCTCCGCATTTAATGCTATGTTGGCCTTATTAAATGGCTGATGTGGATGCAATAACTTTACAGGATCTTTATCTGCTTATGTGGCTAATTCCTTGCCTGACAGGTGTTTGAACGCCAATGGTTCTAGCCCAGCACTGGCTTCTCAGAGTTATTGGGCTTTTAGCACCCGGGCTGTAAGCTAGACTCTGCCGTGAGCTAGCCCTTCATGGGTGTCCATCAGTATCAGTAGTCCCCCATTTCTGAGTGCAGCTTTAGTCCAACGAAGGGAATAAGAAAGAAAACAGCAATCCCCCAAGATGCGACCAACCGTAGAGGAAGGATGACCGACTGGGGTGGTGGCCGATGGCGAGTAGGGCGACCGACCGGGGTGGTAGCTGACAATGGAGGAGGATGACAAATCGGGGTGGTGGCTGATTGACGAGTAGGGTGACCGGCCGAGGTGGTTGCCGACCGCTGAGGAAAGTGACTGACCAACAAGGGCATTCATGGTGCACGAGGCTTGAGGTATGGGAAAGCACGTGGGGATGTGAAGTGGAATAGACCGGGGGGGAGGAAAGAGAATGAGTGAGAGGAAGAAAGGATAATGGTTGTACACGTGAGACAATCTAGACCGTTGATAAGGGGTGTCGAAGTGGTAGTAGGAAGTGAAGGGGCTGTAAAACAAAGTGGAGGAATTTGAGAAAGGTGGGGTATTTGAACGTGGTGAGTTTTAGAATTAGCGAAGTTTAACTGCGATCCTTAGAACACAAGTAAACCCTAAGCATTCGGAATCGTGCGCTTTACTTACCTTATTGCAAAAAACCCCGACTTCAGTTTCGGAGTGTGGGGCAAACGGTTGATTGCTCCTTATAGCAAGGAGAACGCATGGGTGATACTAAGCCAGTGGTAGGGGCCCTTACGACCGAAGGAGAAGGGTTGTCAGGGTAGGGAGTGGAAAAGAGACACCTTTCTTTGGTGCTAGGGGGGAACGTTGAAGTAAGCCCAACGGTGGGAAACAAGGGAACCGCCGTTCGCCACTTGAGTGTAGTGGTTGGTCGGTTGCTAGCTGAAGGTGTGAGGCGACCGAGGTGACACGGACAGCGCGAGCGGCGGTGACAGATCATCTATTGGGGACCATAGAAGATGCCGCCTTGAGGGGCATCTCCAAGTTTGGGGAGGCTGAGCTAATGAGGGCCTTTTGCCCATCGCAGATGGAGTCTCTGACGTTGGTGGCTGCTCTCCTAGGCAAATGAGTGAGTGCGAGAGCACAATTGGAAGCGACAAAGGTAGAGATAGGGCGGTGGCGAAAAGTGGCACGAAATGGTGAGCGTAAGGGTGGACGCGGAGCCCCTCAAGGCGCAGTTAGAGGCGGTGAAGGCAAAAAGCGGGCGGTGGCGAAAGATGGCACGAAGTGCCTATGTCAGAGGCCTGATATACGCGAAGCAGGCTAAAAACATGGAGGTTTTGGCTGTGGTGCAAGGGTTTGTGGCGAAAAAAGCCATGGTGGGGCAGACAGTGGTGGCTGCAGTGTTAGCGAGCGCAAATGTTGAGCTGAGCCAAGTTAAGTTTAAGTTGAAAGCGACTCGTCGTGAGGTAGCGACCATGGAGTTGAACTTGGCGACAGAACAAAAAAGGACTGGTGAGGTTCAAGAAACCTGCGCCACCACTTATGAGAGGTTAAAAGAGGCCCTCGCCAATAACAAAGAACTGCGTGGTCAAACTTTGAAGGAGAAAGAGGAGGTAGATGTGCAAATCGCAGAATTAGAGAGGGGCCTTGCTACGACAAAAGAGGCTTTAGAAGAAGAGAGGGGGAAGACGATAGAGCTGACTAAGACTTTGCGGTCAGAGAGAGCTGCCTACCCTGACTTCTATAGCGTAGCTGTGGATCAATACAAACAGTCGACAGAATTCCAAATGGCTATAGATGCTGCTGTAGCGACCAGTCTAGCTAGGGAGGAAGGAGATGGAGCGGGGCCTTCTAACGTGGCAGTAAGTTCGCTGGTGGAAGGGCAGACCAAGGCTGAGGAAGACGATGTTTGAGGAATTGCCATTGTCGACAAGAACTCTCTTGACTTTGTAGTTGATAAGAGAGAAGAGATAACCAGGGGTTGTCATGAGGGTAGCGAACGCCTGTGCAATTCACTGCTGTAAACGTGATCGGCTCAGACCATTACTTAGGTTGCTTGTGGAGCTGGTCTATCATCGTTACTTTCTTATCATAGCCTTGTCTAATTTTTCTAAGCTCAACTCGATGTGCCGACCGAGATGGTCCGCTGCACGTAAGCCCTTTGGCAATGACCCTAATTTCGCCTAACAGGAGGGCAGGGCCATCTGGTGCTCGGGGTTGTTGTGGAGCCCAGTCATCATCCCATATAGGTTGTGCAGGTTACTTGGGAGGAGTGTGTCGGCGATTGTGCCTTGGGGGGTTAGTCCTAGGCCTTTGCTGGGGACAGGTTGCCATGAATCGGCTGAGACGTCCCTAGCGGATCAGATCCTCGGCTTGATCTTTAAGGTTGACACACTTCTCAGTGTTATGGTCGTGGTCTTAATGGAAACGACAATACTTGGATTGACCCCTGGTTGAAGGGAGATCTTGATGGTTGAGGCCACTTTAGGTTATAGTAGTGTTGAATTTGGTTCAAAACCTGCTCCATAGGTGAATTTAGAAGGGTGTATCGTTCAAACCGACCAGGTGGACGGGTAGGAGCTGGTTGGTCCGACCATGCAGGTCGGTCTGTATATGGAGGGGGTCGGTGTATATATTGCGAGGGATTGGGCTCGGGTTCTTTTCTTTTATCCTTGAAGGGTGGAGTTTTGGATGTGGAGTCATAGTAGGCTACTAGAGAGTCTTTGGCATTTATATATTTTTGGGCTTTGGCGAGAAAGGTGGCCATGGCGGACGGGGGTTCTTGGAGAGGGAGAAGAGGATATTTGACGGGCGCAAGCCGGCCATGAAGGCTGTGAGAATGACTTTGTCATTATTTTTGTCTACCTATAAGGC